TTTTCGACTTCTTGTTAAAAATCGCAAGTCCAATTGCTTTGATATTATATATATTGGTACTACATGTGGACCTCTCTCAGGTTTGTTCATTTCGTGATGATATCTTTAATTCTCTAATTTTGGTGAATATTTTTGTCAGTTTTGGTAAAAAGTGATATTTTCAACTTCTTGTTAAAAACCGCATGTCCAATTGCTTTGATATTAAATATATAGGTACTATATGTGGACCTCTCTCACATTTGTTCATTTTGTAATGCTATCTTCAATTCTCTAATTTTGGTGAATATTTTTGTCATTTTTGGTAAAAAATGATATTTTTGACTTCTTGTTAAAAACCGCAAGTCCAATTGCTTTGATATTACATATATCGGTACTACATGTGTATCTCTCTCAGATTTGTTTATTTTGTGATGATGTCTTCAATTCTCTAATTTTGGTGAATATTTTTGTAATTTTTGGTAAAAAGAGATATTTTTGACTTCTTGTTAAAAACCAATAGTTCAATTGCTTTGATATTACGTATATAGATACTACATGTAGACTTTTCTCAGATTTGTTCATTTCGTGATGATATCTTTGATTCTTTAATTTTGGTGAATATTTTTGTCATTTTTGGTAAAAAGTGATATTTTCGACTTCTTGTTAAAAACTGTAAGTCCGATTGCTTTGATATTACATATATAGGCACTACATGTGGACCCCTCTCAGATTTGTTCATTTTGTGATGATATCTTCAATTCCCTAATTTTGGTGAATATTTTTGTCATTTTTGGTAAAAAGTGATATTTTCGATTTCTTGTTAAAAACCTTAAGTTCAATTGCTTTGATATTACATATATAGATACTACATGTAGACCTTTCTCAGATTTGGTCATTTCGTGATGATATCTTAAATTCTCTAATTTTGGTGAATATTTTTGTCATTTTTGGTAGAAAGTGACATTTTCGACTTCTTGTTAAAAACTGAAGTCCGATTGCTTTGATACTATACATATTGTTCATTTTCTAATGATGTCTTCAGTTCTTTAATTGAAATGTGCCATTGCTAACAGCGGAGCTATCTCGGCCGATCGGCTGCTTGTCTCTATTAGTAGTGTGACACCAATAGAAGCTTATATGAACCAAAAATTGCATTTGTTGCTTACTATTAATATCATTTAAATATTTCTTGTTTTGACTTCAGAAACGCCTCTGTGATTCACGTCAGCACATTACTACTAATATAGCAAACATGATATAGAAATTGCTGGTGGTGACAGTACATACAATGTTTACTGTTTACATTTTTTTATTATTAACTGTACATGTATCATGATTACAAACCATCCCTAGTTGACAGCTCTGACTAACAGTTTTGATGACTACAATTCAAAAACTGCAAATGTCTTAATTACAAGCCGCACTCATAGTTTAAATGTTTTGACTGTAAAATCCACTCAAACAAACCTGTGAATTAAAATTTTAACACAAACTGTGGTTAGTAATAGGATTTTAGCAGTTGTATATTTTGTCACAGAATTAATATTCCAAGTTTGGAACTAAAAGCTGTGTGACTATCTTCGTATCAAAATACTGTAAAATGACTAATTTTCACTGGGTTTAAATTTCACTGATTTACCATTTCAGGCATATTCAGTGGGTTTTAAATTCACGGTTTCGTCATTTAGATAATGTGTTCTATGCTAAATTTTACATATTCGCTGGGTTTTAATTTAGCGCATTTTTCCAGTCAGCGAAATAAGCAAAATTAAAACCCAGTGAATAATTAATCCTTTTACAGTATCAAATAGAGCGTTTATGATGTAGCTTTCATCTAAAAATTGAAAACTTTTTAGATTCTCATCTTTTTCTGGTGTTCAATGATAAAATTTGAAACACAAACTCACAGTGTGACAATTACGCCAGTTGAGGATCTCTCATGCTGAAATTCAATTGTACCATTCTCTCTGTGCAAGAGATAATTTGATTTCCTCAATCACGCCGTACATGTACATCACTTTATTTTAGTTAATGCTTTATTTTCTCGCTGAAGAGACAATTTCGGCTTCCTGTGATGTAATCTCTTGCTGTGTGTAAAGATGAAAACGGGACAATAAAATGAAGATGAACAGCAACCACTTACATAAGATTTATGGATGCCGTCACCTATGGCATTATGCTATGTAGCAACTTGGCATTTTTTGTACTTCAGTATCTTAAGATTTTGAGCCAATACAAAGCTACTTACACCTAACAGTCATTTAATAGTCAGATATTTTGTCGCACGAAAAATTTGTATCAAATAAATGACAGTGACTTTGTGATTTCCCTATAGTGTTTAGCCTTCTCTGACGGCCATTTTGAATTGAACATTAGTCCCAAAAAAACACAAAGTATTGAAGTTCATTCGTTAAAAAATTGTTCAGCTGTACAGTTTTTTCTTCTGACTTCTAAATAGCCAGACAGAGAAATAATTTAGCAGAATTTAAAAAAAAATTTAAAAGTGTTGTCATAGATATTTATTCTTAACAGTTAATATTATGGCATTAACGTATCTATTGTATTAGCGCATACATTTTATAAATATCAACTGTGTATCTAATTGGTCATGGAACCTCATATTTGAATAATGTAGTATATAACAAAATCTAACTGTTGATTTAAATCTAATCACATCTAATTAGTGTGCAAGTACAAATGTAGGCCTAAGAATATTGTTATACCCTGCCTGAGTTTGTTTCTATTCCAGAGTTTGTTTCGCCTGACCAAAAGTTGTTATGGTTTTGCATCTTATACAGTGCCAGTTTGAAATTTACATCATTTTGTTTTTATTCTAGATACCTGAGAAAGTATCAAAACCAGAATTTCCAGTACTAAAGAGTGTTCCAAAAGAGCAGTCTGTCAGGGGAACGCCTCGTGATCGCAGGCCAATATCAGTTGACAGATATACTGGGTTTGTTGATGCATTACCACGGCAACAGAGGAGTATTTACGACAATGATAGGCAGCGCTCGAAAAGTGTTACTCGAACGAGTCGAATTGACAGTAAGAATGATTCAAGCAGGTTCATCTCTGTTGGTGGGAAGACGGGAGATCGAAGTAGAACACCATCTGACAGTTCTGTGTCTAGTGTCTCCTCATGTAACAGTGAAAGCCGAGGTGGAAGTGTATATGAGAGTCTTCGACAGAAAGCGGAACAGCCACGATTTCATGGACATAAAAAGCAATATGAATCATTAGCAAGTGTGCCAAAAGCTAAACTCACTGATTATCAGCCGCAGGAAACTAATAAACAGACTCGGAGACGTTCAGATACGTCAAGACCTGAATTCCAACGAGAACTCTCAGAGAGTCATGACCTTTTCCCAACACTGAAGGATCAATTTGAGCATCCGGAAAAACTGAAATCCGGATCTGTAGATAGCCGTCGAAATGTGAAAGAGCCATGTGCTAGGAGGTGGTATGGCGGTACTGAATATCCCCTTCCTGACGCTTACAACGAACGGTCTTCTTGGAATGACAGTAATAAAAAGCAGGATGAAAGGTTGAGAACTGACTATGAAAGAAGTGATCGGCAAACTGACCGAAATATTTCTCAGCGGCAGCCATCTTTGAGAGGAAGTTATGAAGACATTGCGCCAAGTAAACGCACAATTGAAAGACGACGACACCAACAGGAAAGGAGGGCACGACATACTTTGGACGTGAGCGCAATGTCGCCAACCAAGGAGTCAGCACTTCAATTTATTAGTGACAAACAATCAGAGGTGAGGTGTCGAATTTAATTTGATATGCTTAATTTTATTTGTTTAATGAAAGAATGAACATGATGGGAAATAATTTTAACAGAGTAGCCCTATCTGATCTTTATAAATACTTTATAAATACTTTATTACTGCTTGGAATTAATTTTCGCTACTTTTGCTGAAGGGATGATTCAGTGAAAATGAAATCCAGTTAATATACCTTTTTCCTATATTTTACATTCAACTCATTAAAGATCAATGAAAATAAATTCCATAAAAAACACCCAAAAGGTCTTTTCAGCAAAAAATAGTTCCCGCTATTAAAATAAAGTATTTTACAGTACTTGACTTAAAAGTAAAATGTAAAGACCACCTATCCAATATGACCAGTGACTACTCTGTTGAAACTGCTTTCATCGATTTAACCCCTTATAAAGATTGAGAAATGATGTCATGTTTTATGTGTTACACTCGTCTATCTATGCACTCAATTTCAATAAGTACACAATGTACAATTGCACTAATCAATTAAGACAAACAAACATATTTATTATCATCTCCAAATTGCTTCTTTAAACTGAAAAATTACGGTACTGCCGTATTGTTAGAAACAATTGAATTAAATCACCCTCAATATAAAGACCACCTCAGGTGGTCTGTATATAAAAGTACATTTTTTTCAGGTACCTTGGGTGGTTCGCTATACACATTCCACTACATTTTGTTGTGTCATTGTAGATTCATTTTGTTATTACTTGTCCATGGTTCATGTTGAAATGTCCTCTGCATAGTGACACATGACAAGAGTTTGATAGGTTTTTGTATTGTATCGGTATTGGTAATTAAAACGTTTGACATACAATTGACATTGTTAAGCTGTAACTGACTGTCGTTCAGTGAAAAAGCTTACAAAATAGCCCAATACGTTGTTATGTTGTCACATTGTGAAATCTAGCATGCGTAATGTGGCCCTGTTGATGTTCTCTCACTTAGTATTACAATATGTCCTTTATTTTACATGGATCCTTTCTATTGATCACCACCGCTTTTCCATAAAAGCATCTTGGATGAGAAAGGCACTCTCAAGTAATTTCCGATGGCACTCAGGTCGCAGTGTTTCTCTTCTGCCAGGAATTCTGATTGATAAAGTCTTTTTCGTAGAATGATAAAAAAAAAATATAGAAAGTGTTATTCAAGAATTCACTTTAAGTTGAACCCAAGCTGTTTTAATGGCTTCTGGAGAATTAGAATTGACTGTCAAATGTTAAAGTATATGTCATGATCTTTTGTGCAGGTATGGTTGTGACAGTCTGTATTTCCACTCTGTCTCTGGGTCTACTAGTATTTATGTCTCAGTAGTCTATTCAGCCATAAATATGTTTAACTGTGTACCCACTTAAGAAGAATGCAAGTAAATTAATTCAATATTTATTGGAGAGGGGTTGGTTGACAGGTTTTAACAGCAGTCAGTGGGAGATAACAAACTACAATTTAAATTTCTGTGTTTTTCCTTTATATTACACACTTCTTTGACAAATTTCTTTGCCTACGCTAACAACTGTTACTACTTTGAACTTAGACACCAAATATACTGGTAGTTTAAATAAGACATTTTTTTAGAGCTTTAACAAATTATGAGTGAAAAGAGCGCCCTCTAGTGATGGGATATGCAAACCATGTACATGTATGTGCTCCATTTAATATTGCGCTAAAAGCTTTCAAAGATTCTAACTTCCAATTCAATCAGGATTCATTTCACTCTTGTCGTTAAGTCAAAATAATAAAAAAAGAAACACCAGTAGCAAAAAGAAAAATTGCTATCAATCCATTAGTCTGAACTGGTGATTAGTTTAGTACACAGATGATTGATTGCAACCAAACACTGTTCACTCATTATGCATTTACTATATGCATGTTTACCAGACGTATAATTTGATAAAATATGCAACATTGCAGCAATGTCTCTTACTCATTGTCTGGCTCATGGTGCAAATGTTTAAATAGCTAGGGGGTCTTTAGTTTGTAACGAAAAAGATTGCATGCTTTAACTCAACCATATCATACCGGGGCTAGATTAAATTCCAACGTTTCATTATTTCTCGGAAATGGGGAACAGCAGGGTGTGATGAAACATAGATCTGCGAAGTGATAAATTACATCAGTGAGATGGCTTCATTAATATACTTTCTGTTGGGTCAATTAGCATTTCTTGTCGCATGTTGTATAAAGTCGATTTATCTCAAGTAATGAGGGAAAAATAGGTGTGATATAAATTTACGTTTGATTAATTTCTAATTGTTGAGGGAGTAAAAAATAAAGGTTTAATTTTAAGTCCTCATCAATAATCATTGTTGGAGAAAGGTGATATGCCACTAACCCAGAATAAATGAAGGTTCATTAAACAATTGCAAAATGTTGTTGCGAAACTACCATGGAAATGAAATGTTGTTGCTGACTCTGGCAGCAATCTTGAATTAAATTGTCACAGCCGAGAGTATAGTAGTTTAACTAACCCTGAATAAATGAAGGTTTATTAGACAATTGCAAAATTTTGTTGCAAGACTACCATGGAAACGAAATGTTGTTGCTGACTCTGGCAGCCATCTTGAATTAAATTGCCACAACTTAGAGTATAGTAGTTTGCTGTGTACCCAAATTTTTCATTTAGATATTTGAAAAATTAATATATCGTGAAGATTAAGCATACTTAATTTCTAAGTCTGGTGTTAAAATGCTTCGGTTGTATCTGCATAAAAAGCTTTTATCTCTGATATTGTTGATTACCTGTATTGTTGTCTTACAGAGGGCAGTATTTACTGAGACATAATTATGGTGTGCACATTAATATCTTGAATTGTATTTTCTATATGACTACAGAGAATGTATTTTAATCAACCTGCATGGCAGTCTTATTTATTGAGGTGTAAGTTTTAACAGTTTACTGTCTCCAAACCTTTTTTCACTTTTGTTGATATTAAACAGTTAATGTTTCAAATTTTTTATTTTATTTTTATTATTCTTACAATTACCACTATTAAAATTACAATTTTAATAGTGCACTACACTATGTCTCAGAGCATTTTACATAGTTGAAATGACAGTAAAAATAGGATTAAAAACAGAGTTAAATAAGATTGTTTTAAAAAGAATGTTTTTAAGTGACTCCTGAAAGGTGACTGTTGATGAGCACGAGCTTACACTGACAGAGAAAGTCGATTCATAAAATCAAAGCAGTCGGGAATGCCTGTCAGCCATATGCTTTCCTAGTAGTGATAGTATCTTAATGCTGTAATAGCCTGCTCGCTGATGACCTTGGAGTACGTGATCATTCATACGTTGTCACAGTGGATTAAAGATTATTCAGAGATTTGTCCTGGATAATTTTAAAAAAGTGATTAGACATATTTTTTACCTAATGTATTACTCAACACGGAGCTAGTGGAGATACGAGTATCGGTATGATATGATCAGATTTACTGAGCGATGATGAGACAAGCTGCGGCGTTCCTTACTGATTGAATTTTCTTTAGTTGATGCTGGGGCTAATCTGCACTGGCTCGGAAGGTTGTAAATGATTAGCTAGTTTGAATTTGCATAACAATACTGACAATGAACGTGCATTCAACGCCACAAGTTTTTTTGTTTTTTTAGCCAATCAGAATTGATGCTGTGGTATGCCGTATAGGAAAGAATGGTAGTCGAGTCAGGGTGTTGCGAAAATGTGTACAAGTTTCTCAGTACGTCTGGAAGTAAAAGACTCTGGATTTCCCTAATTCTGTACATAGCGAAAAATGTAGCTTTACACATGGACATTATTGGAGATTTTTTTCATCGCATTCAAAGAAAATTCTTTTTTCCTGAAGCTACTGGAACAATGTTCAGCCTAATCTTAAGGATTTTAGCTCCTTCGGGTTTTTCTTGAGCAAGACATAAATTTAATAACTGGGTCTAATAGTGGTGATTTGATAGTTTCCGATTTGAATTTAATTTCACTGGTTTGTGGAAATTATATCAAGGAGAATTAAAGGGCAGTGGTGGTCATGCAGTGAATGTTCAAAATTTTGTGTAAAATAACCATGGATTGTACATGCATTGGGTTCTTTTTATGGAGCAATATTGAAATCATTTATCGTTGACTTTACAGTGTTCCTTGGTTTATTCGTTGCTGTGGAAGTACCATCTATAGTGAGATCTGTAAGTGTGTATGAACCAACCTAAAGGATGTAGACATATGTGTATGCAAGTCTGTGGAGTATGCAATGGAAACGTTGTTGGTTCTCAGTTTGACTTTGGTTCCATTGCACTGAAACCAAAACACACTCAGCCTGTGTATTAATAGATGGGGTTTATGTTTTAATAGAGGCAGACAGCTGAAAGAAGACTTTGCAGTCTTGTTTTCATTTTTCACGCTGACACATTCAGCATTGAATGAGGTTGTTGTCGGTTCAAACCATTTCAGGGTTGTTGTCTGTTCAAAACGACTTAGGGTCATTGTCAGTTAGAACCACTTTAGGGTTGTTGTTGGTTAAAACCATTGTAGATGGCTGCGGGTTATTAACATTTAAGTGTTGATTTATGCAAGTTAAAATTGCTCCGCTGTTAGCTTTGTCAAGCAGAGCTTATCATATGAGTGATCGTACACCGCTGTTGTCGTACGCATCAACTGTTTACTTTTTCATCTTCTGATTGCTTTGATACTTAGTGTATACAAACATGTATGTACCTTGGGCAGACCTCACTTAGATTTTCTCTAATTTTTGTGAATATTTTTGTCATTTTTGATGAAAAGGGTATTTTTGACTTCTTGTTAAAAAACGCAAGTCTGATTGCCTTGATATTATAACATATAGATACTTCAAGTGGACCTCTCTCAGATTTGTTGATTTTGTGAGGATATCTTCAATTCTTTCATTGAAATGTGCATTGTTACATGTAAAAGCAGAGCTATCTCAACTGAGAGACTGCTTGTATCTAGTCTATGATAACCTTACCCATTGTGCATTAAAACTGTCTGATACAATGATATTATCAATACCCTGAGCCAATTGTTACTTTTGATTGCTGTGTCTCCCCTGGTGCTATGTCTAAAGATGCTTGCCAAGCTGTTGCCGTTGTTGTAATTTATCAGTGTGGTTTGTTTCTATATTTTCGACAATTTTATCCAGAAGTTACACCTGGTAGTTGTTTGGAGAATCTGATGAAAATATGAATGAAAGTGATTTTTCAAAAATTGGCATAAAAACACAGCAAGCAGCAGGCTGAACTCGCCTATTAGACATTCCACCACAATTATGGTACGTAATCGCCTTCTCCACACGATGTCTGCGGAATGACAAAAGCCATAATTCTCTTAATCGTTCATAAAACTACAATTTACGTCTCTTCCCGTGGATTCTAAGATTGTGTGCAGTGTGTTACCTTTTCATGATTACTTCCTTGAATAATTCAATGTTAATTAATTATTGACTTTGTTAACTCATCAGGGTCTGCCAGTGTGACAACACCTATTAACCTCAAGCCTATTTCTTTGTGTTGAGATCAAAGAAAACTGATTAATTCTTAACTCTTCGGCCTTGCACCTTGATTCTTTATACACATGATGTTTAATATCTGCTGTCTTTGTTTTTTACCACTGCTATAATTGTGTCACATTCTCCATATTTAGAAATTTTCATGTCAAAATAAACTTATATCAAGTTTTAACAAAATCAGCTTTTTCCATATTTTTACAAAAATATTAATAAAGCACACCTGTAAGTAAATTATGATCCAAAATCAATGATTATTAAATAATAATATAAAATAAAAAAATGCTGCACCAAAATTAGTTTAGCATGGGTTAATAGTGTTAAAAATATCTAGTTGCTTTTCGATGATCATAATGCAGAATAGATTTTGGCACAATACCTCTGAAAGAATTCCTGTAGGCAACCGTTTTAATGTTTAGTCTGATATTACTAAATGAAAATACGGGTTACCTATAGCACAGTTTTTCATGAAATCGATCTCGATTTTTGTGATGTCATAAGCAGAAGAATGGACCATGTGGTACTGTTTGAAGCATGGTCAAAGATTGCCACCTTCGAATTAGGAAACTGGATTGTAATTGTAACATACTTCAGTAACTTTCATACCATTGACGTTTTATTGGCCTAAAAAACAATCTTGAAATCTGACCTACATTACGCTTCCCATAAAAAACCTTGTCTAATTTACCAAAGCCATTAATTAGGGTAACAAAAAGCAAACATTGATTAGAAATCTTGTTTCACATCTAAATACGAAGCTGAGCTGCAAACAATAATAAAACGAGATTCTTTAACATACAAAAATTAGAAAATATGATTATGCTAAAATATGTCGCTGTTTACATTTCCAATTTTCCGGATAGTTTCCATAGTAACCTCGTAATAGTTCTAAATGTACATGCATGTCAACACTTTTTACTCTCAGATTATAGGGTAGCACTCTAGTATTACAATAGTACGTGTCAAGTCATACATCTAGCGTTTGTAGGAGGACAGGATCATACCAAGATCAATTTAAACAGGCTGGCAAGTTAATCTTGCACGGTATGCGGGTAATCGTCCGTTGTACAATAGATCAAGTGAGACTGAATGTCAGTTCATAGTCACATGTCACGTGTTCCATTCTGGGTATTCTACACCGCTCAATAGAACATCCACATTGTGTAAACACAGAAACAATGCTTATATGTCAGCAGTATTAATTTGCTAACATAGCTACCTGGTGGGGCTTTGAAACCGCTGTCATCGATGGTTTAAATTCTTCTCAACAGTGCAGTAACACTGCTGCCTCAGTGGTAGTCGTATCTAAGCAGAGCAAACAGTTTCAGCTTTATTAGCAACTGAATGGCTGTCACTCATAATGTGAATGCTGGGATTGCAGACAGGGTGTTTTACTGATCAGTTCTTTTACTTTACTATGTATGAGTTTCCAGAGACAATGAATTCTCAGTGTATCGCAGGATTGATCATTTCAACTTCAACTATCGTTCTAATTAATTCAACATTCAGGATGTGGACTTCAACATGACATCGTATACACGATAAAAACCACTCATCAAGCGGCTGTGTATTGGAATTTGTAATATACATGTATGTCTGAGGAGCGGAATTGACAGTCGTCTCTCAGTACTGCGTTATACATGTACATTGTTGTTCTGCATGGAAACTTGTGTATGTTTCTGGTTTGCTGGTGGAGCAGTGATTGTATTTGTTATGAATGCAATGTACACAGCCCAATTAATGACGTGCATGGTTTGGTATCGTAGGCCACTATTTACAGTGGGGTACTCGAACAAATATTAGCCATACATATTGTTTCTGTGGTGATGTCAGAGTAGCATGTTGTCAGCATTATATTGATCCAAAGACATTCAAACAAAACTAACTTACTTTGAAGAGATTTTGAGTGTGACCCCAAACGATGACGTGTAATGATTAGCCTAGATCCCAAACAGGCTACAAAGAACAATTCGCAGTCATTGTTGCTGAGGCAATTTTTATCTCTCTGTCACATCTGTTCTTATGACAGTATTTATACTAATAACCAAAGTGTGTATTTTGGACACTATAAAAGCTCATTTCACAGCTTGCAAAAAACTGATGCCAGAGCAATTTAGTGTAATGTCTGTGTGGGGTGTGCCATCGTCAGTGATCAACACTGTTTAGAAGGATACCATCGCAGTATTCCAACCGTGACATATACTACTACCTACCTGAGTTCTCATTAATTCACCTTAAGTGGTCATTACCGAAGCAGAGTTAATCATTTTGCATTTCAAAGTATATATCATCGATATGATGGCATTTAGTACGCCATCCGCCAAGGGTCATAAATGAAACTGACAGGAAATTGCGCTGTGATTCTGTGCACGTAACAGCTAAAAGTCTGACCATGTACATGTTCCACGTCTTTGTGCAGGAGCTTCCTGAACCAAGGAAAAGAGCAAATTCTGATCCCAATGTATCCGATGATATCACCAATCTTACACGCAAATATGAATTTCCTGGACTTGGGGTAAGTGAACTGATTTTTTCAATTTTTTTATCCAAATTTTTATTATAATTTTTGTAATTATGGAAAATATTACAAAACAATGTTCAAAATTTATCTCATGTTCCCATTAAAAAATAAATTAATGAAAAATTATAAATTAATTGTGGATTGATTGACCTTGGAAGTGACCTTGGGTTCAATTTATTTTATTGTATTGCAAAAAAGTTGAATAAAAATGCTTACCAAACATGGTACTTGTATAGGTTGTCTATACTAGGGTTATTTGAACTCCACTTTGTAACATGAAACCACATTTTTCTGTTTTATGGTGAAGTCAGTTCAGTTTTCAATTTGTGAGAGTTTATACTGCAACATGTTTTTTTTTGTTTTTGTAACACATGATTAAACCACCGTGGGGACTTTATTTCAGATGCATGCTGGTAACGACATTATGGTAATTATATTTGTGCCGCTGATTTGTGATAATTCACATGTTTGTGTGATTTACTCGTGTTTATTGGGAAAACTAATTCCTTGCAAACTTAATTTAAGGCATTACTGTTTGAAAAGCCATTGCATGATGAGTGGGCACTAAAAACAGGTGATTGTGTCAGCACCATAAATGGCCTACAAAGTATAACACTGTTTTTTTTTTTTTTTTGATGGCTTTATGTGTGTTTACTCTCTCTATGTAAATTATTATTGTCACATGGGGTGTGTTTATGCATGAATAACAGATTGAACAGAAGTATGCTCAATTGTTTGGCTGACTTTATTTTTTGAGTTTATCTCTTTCTCTCTCCTTGTGTCAGGAGTTGCCACCGTGATATTTTCCTACAAATATATTTTCTATATAAGTTTTCTGTTATTGTTTTATTCTGAAACTATTGTTGTCAAAACAAACAAAATCCTGATTCAAACATGTTGGGAGTGAATTGACATATAAGGTTGCCCTGTTTGGTTATGCAATTAAACACTTTACTGTCTTAGCCAATCAATCAAAGCACAACTTGCTTGTTTATTGTGTGATTTAGCAGGACTAACAAGGCTGTCCCTGATTGGCTACTTAACTCCAACTCCTAATTGACTCACCAATCAGGGAACATCTACCTTTCATATTTACTGAGTGTATTTGTTGACTGATCAATTCAACTGAATCTTTAACCACAGTCCCTCTATCTATGATAGAGGGACTGTGCTTTAACTTAGATAATTCAGCTTGATTTTTGACACTGATTCAAGAGAAAGTAACCAAAAAGGGGACAAGTTGAAAGTGTAAATTATTTGGGTATTGAGACTGTTATGTGAAATATTTGATGGTCCAAGTTGGGGGAAATGTGTAATAAACAAATTTAAATGTTTTTATTTTTAGTGTGTCCGAAGGTTGGTAATCATTTTGGATTCTATGAATTTTACTTGTTAATGCTTTTAAGTAATTTCCCATAGATTCACAAAGATTCACTTCCATCCAAAATTATTATGCTTCAGAATAATGATGAATCTGGAAAAATCATTTATGCATACATAGACCATCAAATATTTTGCATAAATAGTCCGGGGACCTCGTTGTAGCTCTATGAATAACCTCAGAGTACAACTTCAATTAAAATTTAATTTTATAATGAGTTGGATTATGCAAATTAACTGCTTAAATATTAAGTGTTTTATCTGCATGAGATCATTATTTTGTTTTTAATGACCTCCATTATTGTAAATTACATTATTAAAGTGTGACAAATGTAATAATAGTGTAAATCTAATTGATAATGAGTCAATGTGAGATGGAGATGGAGACTATGACGTGTACTTCCTTCTTGTCACTTTCAGGAAATCATTCATCTCAAAAAAGGGTGGTTAATTAAGCAAGAAAATGACCCCAAGGTGAGTTGGAGACCATTTGTATTAATCCTGCATGAATCTCCTTGCGTTTAGCAATATAGGCAATTGTTAGTCTAATTTATGTACTTTCTGAGGTCTCCAAGACCTATACAGGTAGTGCGTAGGCACACTGGTTAATGAACATAATTTTGATGCCCTATTGACATTAATTTTTATTGACGTAAGTAGTGTCAATCTTTTGGATAGGTAATTTGCATAATTTTTACATGGTGTATTTAAACTTCTCAATTTCCCATTTCTCGGACTTGAAAAAATAATATGTTTGAATTAACTTGCTACTAATAAACTTAACCAGTCACTTTAACCAGAGAGGTCTTGAGGACCTCAGAAAGTGTATGGATTCTAGGCATTTATTGTAGATGTC